GCAGTGGGTTTACTAACCTAAAAGTTGGCGTTTAGAGCCCACTCAAAGGTACCATGGAAGAGAGGCCTGACGGTGTTCTTCCATTATGATAATAGTCAAGAAAATAGACTCATTGTCAGCTAACAATTCCCCACTTAATCTCTTGTCTGTGGTTAGTTGCTGTTGAGTCTGTTCTCATAATGGCAATCTATATAACCGAAAGAAACATAGTGGGTCTTCCTGGGCACTCAGAGTAGATACTTGCAGAGTCAAGAACAACAGCTGATAACAGATTTGCACAGAATTTCAACTAGTCATTGTGAGAAGAAAGAGCTAGTAAAAAGCTACAAAGCAGGTAAAGTCTCTATGTTAAAAGCAAGCTGGTTGGCATGGAGATAGTGATGTCTCTGAAGTGAGGCAGCGGCCCTGGTCCATGCCGAGAGATGGCCGTGGCAAGGATTGTGAGAAGCAATTTAGGTCAGTGGGTAACAAACAGAATGAGGTCTGTGAAAGAGTAAGATCGAGACGAGCCAAATCAGACAGTCACTCAGCTGAGCTGGCAGCAATGCCCTGGGAAAGAGGGATCCATTGCTCATTACTTGTTCATTCATCTGTTTATTCACTGATTCAACAAATATTTAGAAAGCATCTATTATGTGACAGGTTTAGATGCTAGAGTATACTTTTGAACATGACTGACAAAGCCTCTATACAGCTTACTCTTTAGTGGGGGAAAGGTAACAAAAGAGCTAGCAAAGGATAACCAGTGACAAGTGATTTGACAGATCATAGAGGGATGGGATAGAGTAAATTTCAAGGATGCTTCTAACATTGTCCTCAACATAGACTTCTTAGAGGAGAACTAACAAATGACATGGAGAGCCATGGAAAGAATATTCTAGGCAGAGGGCGCAGGAAATGAAACATTCCAAGGCGGGAAAGAAATGGGCATTACCAGGTGTAGGGAGGAGGCTGGAGTGGCTGGAGTAGAAGGAGCAAGTGCAGAAAAAGTTGAAGAGCTGGGTGGGAAATGGAATCAAGCTGGACCTTTTGGCCAAGGTTAAGAGTTAGGGTATTTCCTAAGTGCAGTGGCATGGAGATATACGTCTGAAAAAGATTTCCCTGGCTTGCGTGCCCAGGGCAAGAGTGAAAGCAGAAAGACCGGTTAGCAGGCTATTCCTGGAGTCAAGACAAACAAGGATGGTGCTGAGGGGTGGAGCAGTGTTGGTGGAGTAGAGAGAAGGAGGTCTATGTTGGAGGAAGGACACGACCTGGTGATAGGTGTGTAGTAGCTTTTAATGTGCGAGCTGGGCTAGGTGACGTTTCCTTTCCCAGAACTCCTTTCTCTGTGTTTCTGGTAGAGGGTGAGTCACTGCAGATGCTTCTTCTTCTTTTGTTTGTTTACTTTCACAAGTGCAGGACGGGTGCTTCTGTAGCCTCCCCCCCCCACACACATGTTGTTGCTTGTGTTGGTTGTCATTGATATGAAGCAGCAGCTTCATCTGCAACTGCTGCGCCTTCCCTGCATGCTCCTCGAGCCTCTCAGGCACCTGGTGCAGCTGCGTGTTTAGCTCTGGGAGGAAGGGCACTAGTTTCTCCTGCAGGACAGCTACAGGTCAAGGGTGGAGGCAGTGAGAACAGTGTTCTCACGGGCTCTAGTTCGTGCTTACTGCTCACAGGTTCTCCCTGCTCTCACATTTTATACCTGCCTTTATGAGTCGGGCCGACTCGACGGCACATAACAACAACAACATTTCTGCCACCAGAGCTCCTTTTTTTTTTTTTTTTTTCTGCCTGAAGGCCCAACCTGTAGTCTTTAGTTAAGCTTCAGTATCAGACATAAAGCCTACTTACAGAGTGTTCACCTGTCTCCCATAATGGTGAAGGTCAAATCCCTATAGCAAATGCCTTATTGTATGTAAATATGGTGTAAGGAACCCTAGTGGTACAATGGTTAAGTGCTTGGCTGCCAACTGCTAGGTCAGTGGTTCAAATGCACCCAGTGGCTCCTCAGGAGAAAAGATCTGATAATCTGCTCCCATAAAGGCTACGGTCTAGAAAACCTTATGGGGGGGATTCTACTGTGTCCTACTGGTTGCCCTGAATCAGAAGTGACTGACTCCACAGCACACAACAACAAGAACAATGCATAGTTGTCTTAGTTACCTACTGCTACCCTAACAAAAAATACCACAAGTGGATGGCTTTAAAGAACACCGCATCCGGCAAAAGCACACAGGTCATGAAACGAAGTGACACGAAAGGATGAATGGTTTTTAAAAGGAAGGGGGCCAGGTGGACACCCTGCATATTCTGCGAGAGCAACCCCTGATGCCTTTGTTCTACTTTATTTATATGTTTATACATGATTACATCATCACTCTTGGAATCCATACAATCAGCTTATTCTGTACAAAGTTAAAGTTTTACTCCTCTATGTGCTCAAGGACAACAGGTGGTCAATTAAACAATCACAAAAGCCTACCCAGGAATAAGGAGTGTAAAACTATAATGTTTACTAGGGCACAACAACCCAAAATATGAAACATCCCAATAAGATAAAAACATGGACTACTAGAATAACATCTACTTTTAATACTTGATGCTTTGCCAAGTAAGCATTTAACTGTGAGAGAGGCCTTGCCTTCTCTTGTTTTGCTGTTGGACATGTGCCTTGCACCTTGCACTCATGTCCTTTGATGATTTCTCTCTTGGTCGCCAACAAAAGAACAGGTTATTTTTTTCACAATTTTGTAGGTAAGACATCCATATCATGGCTTTGGGAAGGGTCTTCCTTGTGGGTAGGCATGGAAATTCCTTGGCGTTCTATTCCATTCCACTCCTTCCATAACTCAGAAGTGATTAGGGTTAGGACCCACTGTACTTGGTATGGCTTCATTAACATAACACAAGAAAAATCCTATTTCCCAGCAGGATCACACCCATAGATCCTGGGTCAGGCCTTCAGTACACACTTTGAGGGACACAATTCAATCTGCAATGTGGCAGTTCTGCCTCTCTGACATAAAAATTATTTGTTGTTTATCTAAAATTTCAATTTAACTGAGCAGCCTGTGTTTAATCTGTTAAATCTGACCATTCTAACATCATTCCTTTTATTCTCTTTGAATTTGTATTTCTATTCCACTTAATCCACA